GGGGGGGGGGGGTGAGAACACTGTAAAGGCCTAGGGAACGACATGAAAGGAGGGGGTTGGGGAAGCGGGGAGGAGAGCTGACATTGACAATACCTGCCTGATTGGGAGAGAAGGTAAAAGGATTGTCACTAATAGAATAAAAAATACACACCACTTGAGGTTAACAAGGAAAAAAATGGAATCACTGCAACTGGGACAAACCAGCAAAAGTAACAAATATGATACTGGCGGGAGTAAAACCAAACATACTTGCCGTCCTGCGGGATGCTACCACTGGACATTTCTCTCAGCTTTTCCTTTTTAACCATCTGACAGTGACTTTGACCCGTACCCCGTTTCTAAGATTCTTGGAGCAAAGGGATTTCTAAAAAGAGTGACATGACTGGAGTTGGACCCCTGGGCAGGCTGAGCAGGGAACCCCCATAGCAGCTGGAAAACACCCAACCCAGAGAGCACAGGGCTGATGAAGGCCCCAGAGCTGGAGCAAAGGGAGTGGCCAGCGCTGAGCTAGGGTCCTGGCTTCCCTTCCCAAGAGCAAGACACTGGGTCAGACGGAACTGATTAGCCTGTGTGAGAGAGCGCTGAGTTCAGGGCTGATCTGGATTGGGGGGGGGTGGTGTCTGGGCAGCCTTCAGGGGCAGGGGTGTGCCCCAGCTGGATTTCACTGTCTCGTGTGCAGGTTGTGGGGTCTGCCACCAGGAAGGGTGAACGTCAAAGGAGACACCGCTGGCCGGAGGAGGGAGAGCTCACCCAGAGCCCCTCGTGGCGGTGGACTTCTGACCTGGCAGGAATGGGGTGAGCTGGTCTCCCCTGCATGGAGATAACTGAGTCGAGGAAGCTACAGTTATACTTGCGACCATGGCTAGAAATGAAAGTGGTGTGGCTGGTTTCCAGTATTCTCTTCCTTTTAATGCAGCTGAAACCTTTCACGGCCTCAGAAAAGGCAGCTCAGATAAAAACAACAGGCTGTGTGCGCAGTGAGCCACTGGGAGAATGTGGACCCTGAGACCCCAGCACACCCGAGATGGCACCCGAGGAAGACAACCAAGTGCCGAGCCGACTTCTCGGCTGGAGATGTTTGTCAGAGCACGCGGAGCTCTCTCATAGTATTTGCAATCATTCTCAGATGCTTAATATTTCGTGTTTGAAAACATATTCTGAGGATGCAATGCTGGCAGGCACAGTGGATGGTCCCCAGGGAAGGCAGGGTACCCATGGCTCTTGCTCAGTTTCATGACTTCATCCTGCAGCTTTCTGGCCTTGAGGGAGGAGAGAAAAGGGCAAAGTTAGCCTGGCGGGCAGGGGTCATCCTGTCTCTATTCAGATACACTGTCCCCTGGAGGGCCCCAGAGCCACGTCCCCAGAGGCCTACTCATTGCTTGACCTTCCCCAAGGTGACCTCCCCCCAGGGTCCACCCAGGTGTCCTTCACACAGCTGTATGAATAACTGCTAGTCAAGGAAGGGATAAGGGAGAAACCATGCTCCTGCTCATGTCACCATAGCTGGCACCACCCCAACTGCAATCCCACCTGAGACTCACTCCTGCCCTGGGAGGTGGGGCCGAGACTGCCACCTCATCCCACAGACACAGAAACAGGACCCAGGCTGCCTAAGGTGGAGGGAATCCCCGAGCCTGGAAGCAGGTGTGGGCTCTGCTCCAAATGCCCTGTCCCTGGCCCATCTGTTAGGCCAGATGGAGGTGACATGGAGAATGAGGCAGGTGGCCCTTGGGTGGCAAGTGGCCAGCATCAAGGAGCAGGCTCTTTCCTGCCTCTGCCTGGAAAAGCTGGCCACTGGTACTGTGTCTACAGTGCCAGGACCTTCCTGTCACAAGGAGGGCCTGTCCTCACTGCCCTCACCTCCACCCTCAGCTCCGTCTCCTGGGGCATAACCTGGGCTCCACCTGCAGCCCAGGCCCGTCCCCGGGAGCAGACCCATCACAGCCGGTAAACTGACACTTGGGGTTTACATCCTCAAGAGCCGCAAACATTATTCGCTGCTTATCCCCTGGTTACATTTTCTTTCCTAAAATGATTGTGTTCTTTGTGGAATTAAAAACATTCACTTTACTTTCTACATACCTGTCGCCGAGACCCTACACAGACACTGGGAGCGTCAGCCTGGGGCCCAGCAGCAGCCCGCATGGCCCCGCCAAGCTCCCTGGCACAAGCCCTCAGGTGACGACCCCCAGGCACACCCCTGTCCCGCTCCGCTGATGAACTGGAAGCTGCTGCAGAGGCCACCAGGCGGGACAACGCAGCTGAGGGCTTCCACGTGGCAAAAACATTTTCTTACCCTTAGACCAAGTGATTCTGGAAGGCACACGAATGCCTCCCATCCCACAACGTTAGCGAATTCGTGCTCTGAAAAGGCATAGCAAGTTCCCTTCCATTTTTAATAAAACAATTTATTTTTAAATGAAGCGGACAAATACTTACAATCTTCAGATCCTCTGTCGCCTTCCTTATCTCCTCGAAAGGCGCGGTCCCTCGAAATGCTTTCCTCCGTTCGTGCATTTGTCGGATGTGCTCTCTCAGCCTTCCCTCTAACTCCCCCTCGTGGACGGCACTGCAGAGACCCAGGGCCACGCTCAGGCTGCTCTTAGCAATGCCTCCTCCGATAGAGGAGAAGGAACCTTTTTTCCCTCCAGGCCAAATCATAGTTCTGGGGCTTGTACACCATCATGATGCGTGGCGACGATGAGGCCACCAGAGGCCACTCGCCCCTCTGTCCAGGAGCCAGCTCACAGACAGGCCTGGGCGACTCTCCCAACCCTTCTGCTTAGTTAAAAGGTGCTGGAATACACACTGTCTTTTAAAAACTTCAAATTAATTAAGATATGACACATTTAGGACACTGCACAATGTGCCACATGATGAAGAGTGTGTCTGTTTTCATGTCAAAAACACAGTTTTAGTAAATCCTCCATCAGAGGAACACTGAATTAAATGAGGATTTTAAATATATTCGCTCTGTTAGCATCAGGGCTTTGGGTTCATATCCTTTGATTTACACATACTGACATGCAGAGTGGCAGAAAGAGGCCTGAGACTCTCGCGGGAGTCACCGGCCACCATGGGGAGGGCGCAGTCCCACCTCGGCGTGCTGGGGCTAAGAAGGCATGCCAGCAAAGAGACAGCGGGGGAAACCAAAGAAACCTGGGGCCCCTGCTCCATGGAACACAGCTGCTGTTCCATGTGGGGAAGGGTCCCTAGGGGTTGCGTGGACATTGGGGGTGAGGGGTGACAAGTACGGCGGATACAGCAGCTCCTGAGGGTGGGGACCCATCCTTCAGGCTATTGTTCTACCTGAACCCCAACATGCCTGGACCTCTGCTCATTAGATGCTGGTGGGAACCAAGGCCTCTGAACCAGGGCGGGGTGGGAAGGATAAGGGAGCTGAGCCCTGGAAGCATCAACACCCCCCAGAACCAACCTCAGCTCATTTCTTGCTTGCAGTGACTTCTCTTTGCTTTGTCCCCTTTTTCTAGGTGGATTCACTGGCGTTTTCTCACTGTCTATCAGATCTGTGGCAAAGGGAATCTTGGATGTCACCTAGGAAAACGTTAACAAGATGTTCTCAGCAATCCACAAAGACACCGCTGTGAGCACAGACAACTGTCCATGAGGAGACTGATAAATGGCTGTCAGAGAACAGCAGTCCCTACACTGGTCACCCACCCAGCCTCGGCCTCAGCTGTCGGCCTCAGGCTGGACATCCTGTTGCCTGGGGTGAAGGGCCAGGTACAGAGCAGGGACCAGGCTCAGAAGGCTCCCGCAGCGACCTGGTGACACCCACTGGAAATTTTCTCAGCACAACACACAGAAAACACACGCTCTGCAATGGGCCCAAGTCTTTCATGCAGACGTGACCATGTTTTTAAATCTCTAAGTTTCAAGCTAAAATAGAAATGACAAATAGTCAGAAAGCCTCTGTTATCACTGTCTGGTTGGAGCTCCCTCGCCCTCGCCCTGCCGGACACCTGCCCATCCTGTGCTGCCACATCAGGAGCTTCCTGAACCGCCCCTCGGGACGTGGCCCTGGGCCATAGCAGGGGTCTGCAGAGAATGTGCTGGATTTGGTTTTTCTTTCATTAACAGTGCCGTCCTGCCATCCACTCCCTACTGGAGCACGTCCGTGGTGGTGTAGGTGTAGGTGTAAGTACTCGGGGAGCAGGGAGGGACATGTGGGGGCTCACACTGTCCCTGCAGTTTTCCTGTTGCTCAAAGTTAGTTCAAGATGAACTTAAAATAGAAACAGAGCCCTGCCAGTCAGAGAGGCCACCTGGCTGTGAGGTGGACAGCAGCTCAGGGCGCCTTCCCCCAGACTGGGGGGGCACAGAGGCAACCCTGGCCCTGTGGGGTCCCACACAGGGGACATTCCTTAATGAAAGAACTGAAGGAACATCATGACTAAGTTCAAAAGCTCACATGCCTCACTGCTCGCAGGAGATAAGAAAGCCGGCACATCCAGGCCTGCAGTCGCCCTGTCCTTGTCTGGGCTCAGACCCTCACAAGGTTTGGGAAAGAAAAGGGAAGACGGGTGCTGGGTGCCACGCATGACATGGGAGTTGGCGGCCCCAGCCTTGGGAACTGAGGGCATGGGGCTCCTGAACCACCACTTCTTGGCTTCCAAGGTGACTGACCTCCCCGAAGCTGAGAGGACCAAGGACAAAGAGACCCAGCCAGATGCCTGTGGACACACTCAACTCCTGCCAGTTCAGAGCACAGACCACCAGGTTCACTGAGCCCAGCCCCATCTCCCTACTCTGGGGCCTGAGGGCCTCCGGGTTCCCCTGTGAAAGGGGGACCTTGGCAGCATCCGCTGCATCGCAGGCCTGAACAGGATGTGTGCGAGCACAGAGCACTCAACCGTGCGAGCTGCTGGCAGTGCCCTACGGCTGCTGTCACGTTGTCACTGCAGCCCCACCTCCCGCCCAGCACTGCATACCAGTGTCCGCTTTGGAGGCAGGAGTTTGCCGAGCTCCTCCTTCCTCCTCTTCATCGTCTGGGCTTGCTCTCGCCACTCCTGCAGAACTCTTCTATCTCTGGAGAAAAGACACAGTCATATCAGTCATGGTTAAAAGCAGTTGCAAAACTTAAAGGATTTCTGCTGTCAGTTTTAAAGCTTCACATAAAAGCCCTTTACTTCTGGTCCATCAGACGTCCAGAGGGCAGACACTAGCCTGACATGCACAGCATTTGGGGCGGCTTCTGAAATGCACCCTAAGGAGAGCTGGGCACATCCAATCTGTCCCAAGCACAAGCCAGGCCCTCCCCGAGCCCCTGCCAGGTGAGACATCAGATGGCCAGGCCAGGGCTGTGGCCACGAGCCCCGGCATCCAAGGCCTTCAGGCACTCACCAGTCACCATAAGATTTGAAAGAGCCACTGAAAAGTCAACTTCCTCTTAGACACTTGAGTTTCACTGTATAGAGTGAGCACGTGTCTTTCCTCAGTCCCCTCACCTGTGACATGGCCATGCCCTCAGCATGCTTTGGCAGGATGGGCTCCATGTTGGCATGGTGTCACCCACTGCACCGTGATCTCCCCGCAGTCATACCCAAGGTGAGTCACTGCCCACAGCTTAGAGACAGCTTATGGCTTTGGAGATGGGATGGGGTCCATGGGACACCTCGCCTGGCCCAGGTCTCCATCTGCCTGTGTGAACTATTTCCTGGGTCTTTCATAGCTTCTGGTAGTCGGCACACCTCACCACCCACCCCCAAATCTCGCCCCTTGTCTCCCCTCTCAGCAGATGGCCCCCGGCCTCTCCCACCTGCCTGTGTCATGGGCTCTTCCATCCTCAGGGCCTTCCTGGGCTCTGCCCAGCTGCCCCTGTGAGGGCCCGCACCTGTGCTTGGTGCTCCCTGGGATCAGGTGCTGGTGGGACCTGACTACACCCTTCCCAGGCTCCCGTGAGGCACGGGGCTGGGCCGTCAGCTGTGCTTTGCTGTCAGAGCCTGGTGAGGGCCAGGCACTCCCCGCACCTTGCAGAGGCCTCCCCGCCTAGGCTGCTTTCTGTCCCTGCCGCTGATGGCTCTCCTGCCCCCAGCTGAGCTACACTCCCTGGTCCTCCACTCAGCAGTCCCGCCTAGAGCTGTGACTTTGTGACCTCAGGTGCCGCCTTCCCAGACGAGGCAATCCGTCCTCACGTCCATACTTCTCCGAAACGGGATGGAAGGGATGCCTTCTTGAGACTCATGGGGTAAAATTCTTAGGAGCCACGTGCGCAGACAACCAGGTCCACCAGGAGTCTAAGCCACAGAACAGGCCTCCCACACTGGCACCACTGTGGCCACAGAATGTCACCAGGGCCCAAGGCAGAGAAACCAAGAAGAGAGTTTGCACTTGCCCTTGGTGCTTGAGATCTTACTTCCACAGAGTGTGCCGTGTCCTGGGCACGCCGAGCCCACCTGTGATGGCCTGGCTACCCCAAGTGCCCGCACCCACCATACCACCTCCCCACCCTGTGCATCGCCATCAAGTCTGGCCAAGAAGGGGGAAGGTAGCTGGGGGGGGACTCACATGAAAACAAGGGCAGAAGTGCCTCTCTAAGGAGTCCAGAGGCAGGTGCCTGAGGCTGGTTTTAGGAACTGAAATCAGGGAAAAGGCAGAAGCAAGGCATGAGGGGTGGGACCTGGCTAGATCCAGAGAAGGGAGGTGCAGGGGGGGCCAACACAGTGTGGGGGGCAGGCACCCTTGGTGGTCAGGGGTGGTTGGGGGCAGCTGGAGACACTGGCTCTAGAAGGCACCTCTGGCTCAGACTGACTGCCTCGCCCTACAGAGCTGCCCTGCCAAGCGGCCTGTGCTTGGTCCACACCTGGGCCCCAAGGTGGAGCGGCAGGTGGCTTCCAACCCCTGCAGCCTGGACTCCAGCTAAGGGACACTTTGGGGGGATTTCGTGGGGGTGACTGTGGCTAAAGACCAGCATAACCCCAGGAGCAGCCCAGACCACGCCCCAGAGTCTGAGCCTTGCTGTCCTGGGCTGCATCCCTGCCATCAGGGTGACAGCCCAGGGGCAGGGACATGGTGTGCCATGACCAGTTCTGAGGGCCAGACATCCCCCACCCTTTCACTGAAGGAAAAGAAACCGACCAGAAAGTAGGTCTGGTGGCAGGAGGACAGTCGTGCGCCATCAGAACTGGGTTCGTGACAGTCTGCATCCATCAGGGCCCGAGAGAAGACACACTCATGGGTGGTTCAGCAGGGTTTATTCACAACGGGCTACTCACCGGGGAGGGGCGGAGGGCCCCGGGGCAGTGCGGGAGACAGCGGGGCGGGAGACAGCGGGGCTGTAGCCACCCCGGAGTGGCTGCCCGGAGGAACCCAGGAATGAGAAGCGTGGAGTTGGCCACTGTGAGGGACCTGGCCAGGCCCAGGTGGCACTCATGGGGCGGGGCGGGGGGAATGAAGGTGCTGTCCTCCTGCTCCCCCTTCTCTCCGACCTCCTGCTGGGACCCCCCACAGGCCAAACCCAACCAGGAGGTGAGGGGTCCCCGGGCACTGTGGACGAGGCCCATGCCAGCCGGCCTCCCAGGGCCCAAAGCACCAGGAAGACGGGCGATCAGCAGAGCTGGAGGACAGAGGACATGGCGAGCTCAGGGTGACCGCAGCAACAGCAGCCCCAGCGAGGCAGGGGTGGGAGTGAAGGGACAAGCATGTTACTTTAAAATAACGTTCTTTAGAAAAGGCCTGGCAGCCAGGCCGCTGAAAGGAGGGGCGGATTACGGGAGAGTAAGGCCGAGGAAAGGACAGGAAGCAGGAGCAGGGGGCAGCCCTCCCCAGACCGCCCCCCGCAGGGAAGCAGCGCAGAGAACACAGGCCGCTTATGGGAAGGCGGCCCGCGGCCGGCGCTGGGCCTGTGGGCCCCGGAGCCCAAGCCTCACCTCCTGCGCTGCTCCGTCAGCTCCTGCTTCTCCCGCAGCTCCCTGAGGGCCACGGTGCGCCTCTCCCCCAGCAGCCCTGCTCCCTGCGTCGCCGTCGCCGCTGGGTGCGCCGACGCCAGGCCAGGCAGGGAGCCCTTGAAGGAGGGTGTCTTCTTTCTGGAATTATACAAGGTTTTCAGCTGAATGTCTAACAAAACTCTGCGTTGAGCACACACCTGGAAGACACATGTTAGAAAACACGCAGTCTGAGAGCAGGGCTTCTGGGCCACTGCACGCTGGGCCGGCTGACAGGGCCACCGACGGCACCGCCCTCCACTCCCACCCCCAAGCCGTCAGGTAACCCCAGGGCTGTGGGCTCTGATAGGCTTCCCGAGTGGCCTGGGTGATAAACGGAAGGAGGAGGCTTCTAAATAGCTTAGAACAGTCCTGCCTTTGAGTGGGTGACACAGGACTGAGACTGTCACAAGGCTGTCTAGCCAGGCTACTGCAGAAATCTAGCTGAATTAGGTGCTTCCAGCACCTCCACAGTTACGATCAGTTAGTAACACTTTAACATTTTTTATTTTGAAAATTTTCAAGCCTACAGAACAAGTGAAAGAAAAGTGCAATGAACACGGGACACCTTTCCTGGAGATTGAAGGTTTCCAGTGTTTTCATTACTCAACCCCAGCCTTCTCACACACCACACACAGACACCACACACACACCATGCACACGCATCACACACACCACGCACACACAACACATCACACACATCATGTGCACACATCACACACACCACACACATCACACATATGCACACTCAACATATGTACATGACATACAGACGTGCCACACATGCCGCACAACAGCACACACTACAATACACTATACACAGACCATACGCTTATACACACACACACTCAGGCCCACAGGATTTGGGCTTTTCTCTCACGTAGCCACCTCCTTGGAGCCGTGCTAGGGTGACTTTAACCTGAAGCCAGGCTGGGACCACTGCATAACCAGTGACCGGCAATGTGGACACACATCTCCCTGATGTTTTAAAAGACAGTTGCAAAGTAGTTTTCAACTTTGCAAAGACCAGATGATGCCCCTTGGCTTCGGAATCGTACCTGCGGATGCGTGTGGGGCTGGGGCGCGCCTCGCCCCGGGTGCGCAGCATGGCCCGGAGGTTCGGGGGCAGCTCCGCCGCCAGGAGCTGGTTCTCCAGAACGTCCGCCTGCTCCTTCTCCACGATCTCCTGCCGCAGCCTCCAGAAGCGCCTGATCTCCTCCTCGCTCGGCCACTCTTCCCAGGAATCGGCCACCCGCCTCAGCTCACTCAGGTCCAGTTTCTCAACAGGTGGGAACGGGTCCCCCATTTCTCTGAACCTGGTCTCCTTGGGCCCCTGAGAATTCGTGATTTCTCTCTTGGATGCACATTCTCCAGGTAGGTCCAGCAGGGGATGCGGCAGCTGACTGAGGTTCATTTTAGTGGGTGAAATCCCTAGTAAAATAAAATCCCGATTCAGTTGGCTCCGCTGCAGCCCTGGCCCCAAGACTCAAGCAGACCTAGGCCGCTCCCTCCGACCAGGCTCTCACAGTCCATGCAAACTCATGTAAGTAAAGATACTTTTCTGCTTCCTACCCGCATCTTTTGGTTATCTTTATTTTTAATCAACATTTAGCCCACATGCCTGCTGTTTTCATCTGGCAATACTTTCATTGACTTTCAGACATTTTTATCTCCAGCTCTAGGTAAGTTATTTCGGCGCAAATTGGCCTGAAATGGATTCATCCACTGTCTTAACCAGGTCCCGCATTAGGCGTTGGAGCCACAGTGTCCCAGAGACGGGGGTCGCCTGGCCCATGAGGCCTCGTTACAGCGGGACAGATACCCTAACGGGCTCTGGCCACACATCCTTCCCAGGCATGTAGCCTCACCCACCCTGTGTGTCCGTAGATGCATTTACACAGCTTTGACCACTGTAAGCTACTTCTTGTAAGATGTGAATTCATTTTCAGCCTTTCAAGCCTAATCTATTTATGTATTTTCTGCCTTTTTTGTCAATCGTCTGTCTATTGTATTAAACAGGTACAGACTTCAATGTAAAAAACAAAAACCTCAACGGGGTTGAAAGGTATTAAGAACGACAATGACTCTAAATGTTTATTACTTATTAAAACATTAAATTCTACAAAATAGTTTTCAATATCAGCGGTTTGCAATTTTTTTTTTAAGAAAAAGCCTTTCTCTAAACACAATGTCCAGGAGGAGAGCTCAGAATATGAAATGGGTAAAGGCTTTGATGTCAAATGCTGTCATTACTGTGTGTGCCCTGCATGACCCCATGGCCTGGGTCTCCTGTGGGACCCCAAGGGTGGCTGAGTGAGACACACCGGTGCCACACAGGACACAACACAAGTGTGCACCAGAGAGCACGCTCCCAATGCTACATGCTCCCAACAGCTACATGCTCAGGATTGGTGTTTTTAAAGAAAAATAGTTTACATAACCAAGCAATTCTTGAAATAGCTACCTGATGATGCTTGGGGGTGAGGACTGTTTTGTTAAATTCATCCCTGTGAACTTTTACCCCAACCCCTCCAACAGCCTCCATCATGGGCACTGAGGATGCAAACCTGTGAGCATGGAGCCAGGGAAAGACACAGTTCCACTGGTCAGTGAGGAGACCTGAGTGTGAACCAGGTGCTGTGAGAGTCCAGCGGGGACATGTGAGGCTCCTGTATTCCTCAGGACGTGATTCAAGAGAAGAGGAGCCTGGGCCCTGATTTTAAAAAGCATTCATTTCCGTTTTAATGCAGTTTTTCATAATAATTGTCCTACAAACCTTGAGAAGCTAGGTCTCGGGGGGAGGAGAGCTGGGATGCACAGGCTCGCAGGAAGGTCAGGATGGAGGCTGGGCCTTCCTGCACCACTAGCTGAGGTGGGAACTGCAGAGGGCAGTCTCTCAGGTTCAGAGCTCTCAGCGTAGTCACGTTCCCTGACAAAGAGGAAGAACCATCAGCATTTCACACACTCTCCTGTGCAACGAAAACAGGAGATGGCAGTAACTCTTTGCGCATTGGGGGGGGGAAATCCTATTGAGAATTCTGGGTAAAATGATATGACAGATGTCTGAGATTTGCTTTTAAAAAACCCCATAAAACTCTACATGGAAGACAGGTTCCATAGATTAAGACCAGTCTGGTTACAAAATTAAATAAAGTAAAATAAACAAACAGAAGCAGCAACAACAGTCTTCTGGTATAAATCACCATACAAAGCTGCTATATTATCCAAAATGCCTGTTTTCAGCAACAACAACAAAAAATAAAGCATGCAAAGAAAAGTAAAATGTGACTTATACTCAGGAAACAAGAAGCCAATAGAAACTGTCTTTGAGAAGGCCCACATGTTGGATTTAGCAGACAAAAAATTCAAAGCAGTTGTTATAAACATGTTCAAAGAAATGAAATAAAACCATACTTAAATAAAGAAAAATATAGTAAAATGACTCAACAAATATGGAATGTCAATAAAACAGAAGTTATTAAAAAACCAAATAGCAACCTCACAAGCCCGCTTTTTAAATCACCCTTTATTTTATTATTTTAACCCTTACCCAGCTCCACAGGTAACATTTTGATAGGATTTCTTTCTAAAAGCAAAGTTTTCAAATACCTTTAAAACAAAACAAAATATATATCATTTAAAACATAGAAAATCAAATAACGATCCCTAAACTAAACCACATTTCATTTGTCTTCTCTTTAAGGGGACAATACTACAGACAGTGACCACATGCACGGTCAACTGTCTCGGCATCTGGGCCAAGCTCTCGCCCAGCACTGCTGACATCCGGGCCAGGCACTTCTTGACTGGGAGACTGTCCTGTGCCTGCGGGGTGGTTATAGCAGCATCCAGGCCTGTCCCCACAAGGTGCCAGTACCCCCGCCCCCCGTCAGCTGTGACAACCACAGAAAGGGCAGACATTGCCAAGTGAGCGTGGAAGGGGGCAAACTCTTCCAGCTGAGAACCAGTGCCCAGGCTGCTGGTGCCCAGTGACGGGCTCCCCACACATGGGGTTCCTGCAGTGTGTGGTGAGGGGTCCCAGTGCTTCCAGGTGCTCTGCAAGAAGGTTTTCTGCACCCAAGGACGTCAGGGAGACTTGCCCTGCACGGTGTGTCACCCTAAGAGATGGTAATTCACGTACTCGGGGCTCGGAGGAGTCCCAAAACACGGAAACCTGGTTTCGGGGTTTTTCTCCCCGTATTTGACATCTATTAACATTACTTGTAAAATTTAGCACAAAAGAGATCACAGACATAGGATACTTAAAGGCACGGAATAGCAATGTATTGGTTCAATGCTGATGGAGAAATCACCAGTTCATTCCAAACCCCAGCCACAGCTCTGCCTCTGCCTCCCGATTTTCACTTGAAATAAGACTGTGCCACATATTAATGGCAGTTTCCCTTTGTCTTTCCCTTCTCAGGGGTCACCAGCTGAAATCTGGTGTAAAAGGACAGGAAATACCGTCGCTGATCAGTATCTTCAGCCCAGGGGCCTGATGATTTCCTTTCTATTTACTCTCCTGGAAATGCTTTACTTCTGCTGATGTGAAACAGCCACTGGGGAGCATCTGTGCTTCCTGAGGCTCCTCAACAGAACTGCGGGCGGCAAAGGGCCCCACCTGGCAGCACCCAGAACGTTGTTGCTGCTGGTTGGTTTGGGGGCTGGAGCGTGGTAACCAACTATTGACCTGAAAGGGTATCAGGGCTTTTTCCACCTTATATAATAACACATTAAAATATTCTGTGCACACTTTAAATGACAACCATCGCTAATCCATTATTTCATCTCACAGACTTTCCCCTGACATAGCCATCCACAGACTGAATGGAGCCACCTGCCGAAGGGGCACATGGCCGACGTCCACTTCTAATCTCCTGCCCTGCCGGCAAGCTCACGCCTCCGACACAGAGAGGGAACATCCACTCCAGATTGTTTTCATTAGGCTTTGTGGCAAGCTGAAGGCTTTTAATAAGTCCATAATCACCTAAAATTTATAATTAATGTGTTTCAGGTCTTCAGCAGTCTGCTCCAATTTTAATGATGTAGTGGGTTATGAATCACATGCAAAATTACATCTTAAACAACATCAAGCAGCTGGCTTTTGCTGACAAAATCAAAGAGTCCAAAATTTGAGATCTGTGTACTTATTTTAGAAGAAAAATTGTGTTTAGGGGAATACACTTTATTTTTACCTTTTGAGTAGGAATTGCTCTCCAGAACTGTGCTAATGCTAAGGACCAAAAGCACTAAATTATCCTAAACACAGAAGATGACCTTGTGAAGAACAAGGCCTCCCCGGGCCGCCCTGAACCACGAGGGAGCTCCAAGGACTCGGGAGGTCACTTGGATTGGCTGTGAGGAAAAAGGAGCAGCAGCCCAGAGAACACTCAGCCACTTGTCACACAACCAGCTGTAGACCTGGCTCTGCAGGTGCGTCTGCCCTGGTTGGAGCCAAGGACACAGCTGTATGCGACCAGGGACACGGCTCTCAGCAGGTGATCTGCTCCACAGACCCCACTGTCCCCCAGGGCTCCAGGGAGAGGGCTCCTAGCTCTGCCTCCATCCTGCTGGAGATGCCAGCTCATCATTAAACATTCACTGCTTCCTCAAAGAGCAGGAGATGGCACCAAGGATCAGAGACATTTTCCCTTACTGTTACATGTGACAGAATACTCACTCCTTAAAAATTGCTTTTAAAAATGGTGAGCTATACTCAGGTAAGTGAAGGGCCTGCTGCAGACCTGTGCTCCGCTGTTTCACAGTGGCCTCCTGGCTTCTGCGCACAGTTACCCGTGTCAGAACTGGGGGTCACCCTAGCACACCCCTCTTCCTTCCACACCCATATCCAACCTGAACCCCGGCTCCCGAGTCCGGCTGCAGCTCTGCAGTGTCCAGCCTCGCCTAGCACCACCCCTCTCATGGACTGCAGCAGTGGCCCCCTAAGTGGCCTCACTGATGCCGCTCTTGCCCCTCCGTATAGTGATCTGAAAGCCAAGTCAAATTCTACCCGAATCCACTCAAACCCTCTTTCAAAATGAAATACAAAACAGCAACTTTGGCCTACGACCTTGGCCGACTCTCTTTAAACGTGTCTTTTACCACTTGTCCCGTCCTCTGTTGTACCACCACACTGGCCTTCCTCGGTCCCTCACATCTCCAGCACATGCCTACCCCAGGGCCTTTGCATGTGCTTTCCTTGCCTGGATGCACTGACACAGAAGGAGAGCCTGAAATGTTTCTTGGAAGGTTTTGAAGGTTAAGAAATACCGGCAGGAAGACTGTGTACAGAAGGTGGAGGGGCCAGGAGGGGACGGGATCTCATGGTGAGCATGGCTCCGGGAGGCAATGAGGATGCCAGCTGATGGCCAGCTGCTGGGGAGGGCCCAGGTGACAAGCGGAGAGGGAGGAGTGGCATTTGTCCTGGAAGTGGGGGTGCTGGGAATCCCTGGAGTCAGCGCAGTAGGGGTGTGGCAGGAGGGCACACATTCAGTTCTCCAAATAGGAAGAAGTTCTTGTTATCCACCAGGACTGGCACTGGCACACAGGGCCCACAGGAGCCCAGGGTTTTCTGTATTTCGGACCCTTCAGGCAGCTTCACACAACAAATCAGACACAGAACCAGACGCTGCAAAACCCACACGGCCAGTCCAGCAAAGGTACTATGACCACTGGCACCCTCTGCGCTAGCAAGTGTCCTGCGTTTCGACGATAGTTACATGCATTTGTACACTCAGCATCGCACCTCTTAGCCTGCCTCAAAAACACCATTAAACGATTCTATTCTGAAGTCAGAATTCAACCAGGAGAAGGAGCCGACAGACAGCAACAGAGCAGGCACTCGGACATTTTAAAGGGATGGAGGCTTTAAGTCTGACCCTGAGTGCAACTTGCCTGTGAGAGCCAATCCCGGGAGGAAGCTCCTGGATCCTGTTGTGCCGCAGGTCCAGCCACGTGAGGTTCGGCAGCAGCTGGAAGAAGTCTCCTGGGATTGTGCAGAGGGCATTTCTCTGAAGGTGCAATTGCTGCCGGGGAAAGAAAAGATCGAGTTTTGTCAACCAACTGAGTTTTAAAACATGACACATCCTAAAAGCATTTCCAAAAGAGCTACTAGCCACTGTGATCACATGTATCAAGTTAGAAGAAAAACCACAATATTTTACCTTAAGTAGTTTAATCAGTAGACACGAGACTAACCGTGAGAATCGCCAGGCCCCGGGCACCAGAGTTGGAGCTGAGGGCGCGTTCCGACCTGGAGACACCGCTTCACATGCCACCGTGAGCACGTGCCACTTCTACAACACCCCTAACTCCACACTCACTCCCGAGTGTGGACATCACACCTCTCCCTCCTGGGCCCCACGGGAACTCCGCCCAGTGAAGGCACGGCCACGGCCACGTCTGGTCCCAGGGACACATCCAAAGGAAATAACTAACGGACACACACCCTGAGCTGTCTGCTGCGTGTCACCTGTGATCAGCAGCCACACTAGAACAATCCCTACAAGGTATTCCCATTGGCTGGTCCCCGGGCCTGAATTTCTTGTTTGTCGTGAGCAGCACAAAAAGCCCTGAGTTAACCCTCCTCTGTCTTCTAGAATTTCTCTCCTGAAAAGAAGCCGACAGGTAGAAGCTCGGCGGTGAGCTGTTCATTTATGTCTACACAGTGCGTTTGTAAAACCCCGAGACACGCCCCACTTACTTTAAGGGTGGGAATTTTAAGGAAGTCTCCTAAATGGTGAAGACCCCTTTGACTCAAGTCTAGGACTGGCGAGGAAGAAAAGATGACCCCAGCAACACTCTTGTGAACGTCTCTGGAGGGGGAGCCAGGCGGGCTCCCAGCCTGAGCCGCACCCCTCTCGGGGTCAGCGGTCCCAGGGCCGGTCCCCTCCATCGGTCAGCTGGGAGGAAGCAGTCTTCCAGGGCCACCGTTCATGCCCCTGGGTCTGGAGTCACCTGGAGACAGGCAGGGACACAACCACAGTCAGGAACAGGGCCACGCTGGCAGGCCGGACGGGCGGGCGCCTCTGCCATGGTCTCACCTGCAAAACCCTCGTTTTAAATAAACAATATCGTAAATTTGACTTTTAAATTTGTAAAATAAATGAATAAATAAATAATTCCTGGGATACAAGAAGGTTCAGGTAAGAATGTTGTGCTCCCCACTCCGTGGCGCGGAGTTTTGAGAGGCAATTTTCACTCCAAACGCAAAAATAGGGAGGAAAACCTGAAGCTTCCAAGTCCGCAAACG